AACTCAGGTTTTGACGCTGAGTTCAAATATATTGTTTTTTGAAGTATAAAGCCGAATAGTTCGAGTGAAAATCAATCAAAAAGAATCGAAAAATTCAATTTTTTGGCATCGTAAACGATTGTGTCAAAGGGTTGGCTGCCTTCCCCAAAAATTAAACTCAATACAATAGCATCATTTTGTAGAACTTCAAAAGGAGTATCGAATGGTATTTAAATAAAGTTGGACCAATATCCCTTAGTGTCATAAAATGAGATTTTCTCATAAATACTCATAAATGGCTCATCGTAGTGAACAAAGTCATCTCAACAAAATAATGATAGGAGAATATTTTGTCGCACATTTTTATGTCATTCGATAGGAAAAAGAATAAGCTTTTAGTTGGTATATAATTTAAATCAAAACATATTGATAATAATGACAATATACGTCATAGGAACACAACAGATCGCAACTGCTCAGGCAATAGAGAATATCATTATTTTATGTCATGTGTGCACAGCTACAACCAAGGCTACTTCACTGATTCGAACGTTAATCGTCTTTTTACATCTCAATTGACTATTTCGAAAGTGAAAAAGTTAATTTCGAGAGGGGACCGATTTCATCGCTTAACGACCCCCCCTCCTTTATTTAGCTGCATGAATAATTTTAGTCACCACGGCATGATTTTTTGATAATAATAATAATAATAATACATTACAATATATTGTGACATCCTAGTTGAAGACCCTCGCCTATCTATGCATATATTTTCTCAGGTTATCAATTGAACCATATGAAAGAATGACTTGAATAAGCTAACTAAATCAGGTATATATATACCCCCAAAAAGCAAAATCTGGACACTATACTTGACCTCTTTTTACACTCAAAAACGACTTATTGGGGAAAGTAGTTATACCATTCGATAGCGCTTGGAATTCTCTATCAAATTGTGTATTTTGATTGTATCTTGCTTTTATCTCCTGGGAAATTAATCAACTAGAATGAAGACACCCTCATGTCCAGATTCCCACAGATTTGATTTTGTCACTATCATGAAAATTAGTTTTTTAATTTTTCATTACTATAGAATTACGTTTTTGAAAAAGCAGTTATACATTCGGATAGAGCTTGAAATTCTCTATTACCCTGTATATTTACTTATTTTCTTGAATTCATAGATTGAAAAAAATTTTAATACTATTAACATACTTTGAATCGACCAGTATGAAAAATCTGTATTTTTTGGCACTTTGGTGTTTTCTTTTTAAACTCATTGTTCCTATGAGAAATGTTTTTTGAAAAGGTCGTTAAAGATTATGATAGAGCTTGAAATTGTATATCATCCGGTATATTTGTTAACTATCTTGCATCTATATATTGGAGAATAATTCAAGCATTACGTACGCACGCTGCTTGACAAACTGTAACTGGCGTAGCTCTTTTTTTCTATATGTTTCGACTTTTGTTTCAAAAGCTCACGATGATAGAGAATTTCAAGCTCTATCAGAATCTATAATTACTTGTTTAAAAATTTATTTTCATAGTGATTATATTTTGAAAAAAAGGAGAAAAGTAACGATTTTTGATAATTGTCAATTGACAATGTGCTCATTGTATTGAAATTGTTTTTCAATCTATGAATTCAAGAAAATAAGTAAATATACAGAGTGATAGAGAATTCCAAGCGCTATCGAATAGTATAACTACTTTCCCCAATAAGTCGTTTTTGAGTGTAAAAAGAGGTCAACTATAGTGTCCAGATTTTGCTTTTCGGAGGTATAGAAAATTATGAAAAAATCTAGCTAATTTTTATCCCTTTTCTTAATCATTTCAGAAGGCATGGTTGTCATTCTTTGTGAATAGTTGCTTTTTATTATGCTTTTAAAATCTGCAAAGATACAAAGATTTGAAATGGAAAGCAGCTCTTTATAAAATCACAAAGATATTTTTATACTAAACATAAAAGATTTCAGAGTGCGAAACACGTTGATCGCTTGTAGATTTGAAAAGTATTGTCGAAGTGTGCCCAATCTGAACGGGGTGTGGGTGTAAATAGAAAGAATACCCACACTCCACACCCACATCCTCGTTTACAGATACCTTTTTATATTAGCTTTTTAGAGTTTTATAGACTATGTAGAAATTACACAAATGGGAAATCTTGAAAAAATTTGCCGATAATTGAACACCTAGCCAGAATAAAACATATTGAGAGTAGACTTAAATACTGATAATATCGGTTCGGCTAAAGCTAGACTTTGATTGTCACAAGTACTTGTCGGCAAAGATACAAATACAAGGAGGAATCTGAATGTGTCTTTCACTTGAAAGCAACGCTATACATTATATTTCTCTCTAATACATATCTGTTTTTAGCACCACATCTAGATAGGACCATCTACAATGAAGCTTATCTGACACAATCCATCAGCTAAGGTCGAACGCACACCATGCAAAAAAAGTCATTTATCGTACATTAGTATCACAGAAAAATGTGCCAATAACACCTCAACCCTTCTTCATGACATCAGCTAGTGAGGAAAAAAATCAACTCATTAAATTGCTGCTAGCCAAATAAAGCTTGACAGATCCGTAGCCGCACATCGAAAACATTTAATACGATGAACTGGAGGATTGACAAGAACTTGAAATTTTGAGAAACTAATTAACGAGTCGAATTCCCTGATCCCGAGTTACTTTCATCAACCTGTATGAAATTCTGTAAATCTCTGAATAAGCAAGATCGTTTCTGATTGTTAGACTTCGTAATCAATGAAAAGCTCGGATGCGAAATCCGAGCATAGATTCACAATTCTGGCCCTTGGTAAACTATGATAAAGTTCCATCAATAGATACAAAAGTCTTGAAACAAAAAGGGTGGGTATGGATAAATAGATTATCGCGCCTACACCTTCTAACTATAGCCACACCCATCCTATGGACGAATTCAAGATGGATGCTCTCTATCAACAAATGGTTGTCAGAAAAAAAATAAGAGAAATAAATAGAAATCAGAAAATGATTGATTTTGTAAAACTCTTCTTCGTGTACAGATCATGACGTCACTATAGTCAGTCGCTGAAGATGTTCAGTGGATGCTGGTGTTTGTGTGTGTTTTGATATATTTGTTGCTCAGATCTACACCTGCACCCACATTGACCTCAACAAGAATATGGATACCTGCAATCACACCATCATTGACTGATTAACCTTTCTGTGGGTAGTAATTCGTCAAGGGCTAGTTTGGCGAATAGTTCAATGAACACTTTAGCTTTGATTTAAAACTTAAAGTTAAAGTGCTCCTGTAAATTTTACCGGTTAAAAATAAAGCAATGCACTTTAGTGTTTCAATTTAAAGAAAATATAATTTGAAATCGATAGGTATGATTTTGGGATGTTGATATTGGTTTGACTAGTGATAATTGAAATACTAACATCCTTCCTTATGGAAAAAGAAACTAACTGTTCACGCGCACCGTTGAATTACCTGCGTTAGCACGTATAGTAACGATATTGGTTGACAATGGTCCTTCTATGGTTTTCTGAATGTTATGATCAGTCGTAATTCAAGAAATAAGTTCATCAAGTTGAACAACGACAGCTTTCACCTATAGACAAGAAATTATAAAATGCAGTCAAAATCATTCAATTTAATTTTACTTTTGTATATTTGCTAGCCCATTGTTCATTAATTTCTTTGTCCATACAATATACATAGATTGACATCATTTGTTTCAGGTTATGAACAGAAGGCACTATTTCTCTTCCTAGTTGGCCGCTAACGACCATTACTAATGGATCTTTTTCTGATCCTCCTTCAACGTATTTCTGGCATTCGGCTCTATCTGGAAACTTCTTGAAATGATTAAAAATAGAGGTCAATTTTTCTTCTGTATCTTGATTCCGTTCATCGTTCACATTGGCATCAAGCCAAATGATGCAGGAGACGTCACGACACATATCATCGACATTTTTGTGAAAGTCTTCATTTCCTATAATAGAGGTGCGATGTTGAGAAATGAGGATCAATAGAATAGAAATTTTTGAATGCTGACTATTCGATTTCGTTCTCGGGTGTTTGAGTAGCAAAAGTACTCACAAACGGATGCTACATTCTCACTTCTATTATTTTATTTAGTGTTATGCATAATAATATTTTGCAAATTCTCATACAAAGAAAAGAAAAGAATAAAATGTTTGGACGAGTCGAAGAAGATGATCTACTTCTAAACGTTTACTTTCATAGGTGAGATTATTGAACCGTAATGTCAAACTTTAGCATATTATTTTGTTTAGTGAACTAAGAAGGTTTTAAATCAGAGTAGAATGTGGCTATGGCTGTGGGTCTGAGTGCAGGTATGAGTGTGAGTATGGATAGCTCTAATTTGAAACACTCACATCCACTTTGAACGTCCATTTGAGTCAAAATCTTAAAGAATCAGCGATCCCCATCAAGAACATTTGTGACTAACATTTCAGCCAGATATATCTAACTGAACGAAATTTACAGCTCATTTATTGTTCATTTACAGTCATGCGAAGAATATCTATGACTACTCTAACAGAAGTGATAGAAAGCATCCTCGAATCGTTTCAAACTAAGGGTGTAGGGTGTGAGTGTGAGTGGGTGTGGATTAGGAAAAGAACAACATCCACACCCACGAACTTAGATACATTATTCATAAATTGGCGCACAACATAGAGCGAGATAGCATGCAATTAGTGTCCACACTTATGGACAAACATTGCAAGTAGAATTGTTTTATAAATGAAAATTGATAAATAATAGTATCATTTGCATGTACATACAAGCACTTTTATCTCTTTCTACATCATACGTTCGCATAAGAAGCAAGAGCAAAATTGAAATGAATTTAGAAATATATCGGTGTGGAGAATTCTCACATAGAAAGATGAATGTGAATCTTGTCTTTATCTAATCATTCATTCATTTATTCATAATTGAATATGAACAGATCAATCGGTGCCTGGTTCTGATCTACGCTTTCTTCGATTCATAATGAATGATTACCTGAACGTGTCTCCGGAATCACTAACGTTTTGGATGATACTGTGCTTGATTCACTTGATGCTGTTGGCTGGCTTTTGTTATCTGTTACCTGACTCTCAATATTAATATTCGGCTCGACTAGTCCTATTGACTTTTGAATGGGAACGGGCTCAAGTAATGGATATGGTGGATCTATTTCTTTAAGTTGTATTATATGGAGCCCATTACCAGAATTCAGACAGGATTTAACTTTAAATTGTCTGGCAGGAAGTAAAAGAATTTCATCTTCCTTTGTCAAAAACGAATGGTTTTTAATACTCTTTCCCGTGTGACAATCGATTTGAAATAAAGTACGAGTTCCACTTTTACCCAGAAACATGTCGGATTCCAATACCTCGACAGACGACGTACAAGATGAAAATCCCCACCAAATAAAAGTGCTACCTTTTGAATATTCTTCATGTAAATCTTTTCGCACTCCTCTATTCACGAAAAGTCTTTCGGATGGTAAACGAGCCAGTGCTGTTAATACAAGTCGTAAATACAAAAACCAAGGAACCAGTTTTTGTCTTTCTTCGGAACGTAATGCTTTGTTGAGAATAACATAAAGAGATTTTTCATGTGGTATCGATTCGTACGTATAGAGCATAATCGAAGCAGATTCATCAGTTGTTAAGCCATTTTTTGGATTTCCACAGTTCTGTTTGACAATGTGTACATTACGTTCGACTTTTGGTACGATGTTAAGGAGAGGTTTTACTGCTTCTTCAATCGATACAAGTGGCATATTTTCATAGCCGTCGATGGCTGCTAACATTTGCTTTGGTAATGGACTGAAATCAGTGACACGAATAGACATTGATTTACCACTATTATTAGTATCCATCTGAGAGTTAGTAATCTGCAAAAAATAGATTTTATTTTTCCAAAATAAACTCAAGCCAAATTATTCTCCAGGCAATCTCTTCTAGACTATCTGATTATGTAAAAGATTAGATTTTTCATGATATATTGCGAGATTTTCAAAGAAAAAGGAAACTTGGGCAATGTAAGATGCAAAGTTTCTGAAACTTTTATAAGATTATACGTTTCTAAAATGTCTCTTTTCTTCTTTTTCCTTCTTGAAAATATGAAAATGTTTCTTACATACAAAACAACTAGAGTTCTGCATGTTTTTGTATGAAAGGAATGAATTCTGCAAGTTTGTAGAAACTTATTGTCATAATTATAAATGCTTCCAGTATATCATATTTTTTGAATCACGTTTTTTTCTGAAAAACGTATCAACGAAGTTCAACTAAGAATTATATGTTGGTATATAACATAACCAGGGACATCCAACTCTAGACTTCTCTGAATTAATGATCGACATACTGATAACCTGCAGTAAACATTATAATGTCACATAGTACCACTAAGATTACGAGAAGATAGAGCGTGAAAGGTTGTGCAATTTTATATAATAAAATGCCTCATTTTGAATTTGAGTCTAACTCTTAAGAAACTCACATTAATGTAAGTTTCATATCGATCATTCGGAGCATATCTTTATTATACTATTATTTAATTGGTTCAAGATGTGTGAGTGTGGATGTGGGTATTGGTATTAGTTAGGACTCTCTTTACACGTTAAGCCACGCCTACCCTTCTAGAAATATGAATAAAATTATATGTAGATGGCACTGATTTTGAAGATATTTGAAAAGCTGCTTAATATAAATAAATCAATTCGATTTTTATTCGAATGAAAAAAAAAGATTAATTGTACCAGAAATTTTCATCCGAACACTCAGAGCTTCATCTTACTCAAAATTATACCTCTTAATTATTAGATTACAGGTTAGTATTCAATTTATTGTTATTATTGCATAGAAGAATCTTCGTTTATAAAGCAGTATCACTTTTGTGAACATGAAAAAAACTTCGCTTCGCTAAACTTGACTATAGGTTAATTTGGAAACTTTTAATAAATTTGTCAGTCCCGTTCGTTTCAGTTTTGTTCAGAACAAATATCAACCGATACTATTCCTGATTCTTATCAAACAAATTCTCCATGAAAGGGACGACAGAAAGAAAGTGTAAAACAGTCACCAAAATAAAACACAAAAAATGACCTCGAAGAAGCAAAAAATTCATTTATGTTCAGTGACGTCCATTACATATGAAATACTCTATAGCGTATGGATGCAGAAGTGAATGTTAGTGTTCGCTCCTTCTTCATTCAATTCATGGGTTCACACGCATATCTACATCCACACCCATGATGTATTGCACAATGAATAAATAGACTTCAACCATTCCAAAATTAATACTTGTAGTTTTGTAAGATTGTGATAGAATTCAATATAAACAGAGCTTTTATCCATGAGCCGTATGTTACTTTAAACTGATTGAAAATCATGAGTTTATCTCTACGTGATATTCTTTCAAACAACAAATCTTGCATTTGATTTCTTGTCTATTGCACTTGATTGTTACTGATCTATTAACTACTGTTTTCACTTTTACGTTTTCGTATCCATTTGAAAAATTCAGAAAGTAATTCAGTATTGTGAATATTTTCTCTCCCAAATCTTTCTTGAAGTTTTTTAATCGATGCAAGGATCAATGGGTTGAGGAAATGAAAAATGAAATGTACGAAGGAGAGTCAAAAATATGTTCGATTTCAGACGAAACAAGGATTGACAAACATCACAGATTTTCTACTAAATAATCATCAGAAATCAAAATCAAATGATATTTCTAAATGATGCTCTGATGTGCGTCCAGAATCACATCATTTCGATATTGTCTAAAGCTTTTCAAGTTCGTTTTATGTATTGCTCCATAGTTTTTAAAGCAATGTTTCGGACAATTAATAACTTTGAGGCATAATTTGACAGTGGATTTTATGTGTAATATATACGCGAACGGTCTTCTGCCAACTGCTTATCGTCAATTTCCTAAAGTTCCAGCTACCTGGATCCTACAAGAAGACAATTATCCACAAGTAAAGTTCATCGACGTTAAAAGTCGATTCACTGGGCCCTAGACTGAGCAAATGAGGCAACTGCTAGTACATCGCACTACCAAACATTTTCATTCAAATTCTTACTATGGAAAAGAATGTTCCACTTGATTAGAGTGACATTAACAAGATGAGATGAAGTAAAAGGATTCAGCGAAAAAAAGCGATGGGAATAAAACTAACAGATAATACAATCTTTTAGTCACTGAAAACATTCTCTTACACCACTTGTTTTAACGACATAGTTGCTTATAGTTGCGTGTATTCACTTTTAAAACGGGCAACTAGAAATATTTCGTATATTCGATGGACATCAGATTCATTCATGTTCTTTTATTTACCATCACGAACATCAGGGATAAGACACAGACAGAGTAGAAGGTGTACGACAAACGTGCTTTAAGGTATTTGGCCCCACATTACCTGAAAAGAATCCGCCGAATCAAAAACAAAAAGCGTGTCTTACTGACTGCTACTAGATATTCAGCTGTTTATTGAAGCCAAATATGTCTGTTCATATGTTGCCGATCATCCAGTCTGACATTTGAACTTTCATTATGGCCACCATTTACAAGTTTTTCATGTCCGAGCACGGCTCATATTTTCTAATATTCGAAATAAATTACTCATGTCACCGTCTTAAATACTCTTTCATTGTTCGTTCTACTTATTGCATCCTATCTGACATTATACTATTTGTACCTAAAAACCGTTAGGATAGCATCTTGGAAAGATATATTTCGAAATGTTTCTTTGTCTTAATGGTACTACATAACCACTTACTATGCTCAACTGCTCACAATTTAAACACTACGATGTCTCTTTTCCCAGCCTGGGCTTCATGTGTGGTAAAATCACCTTTCTCCACTGCTGAAAAACCTTTCAAACACCGTGATGCACACATCCTCATATCTTTTACTCTTCTCCATAAACTTCACATTGAGAACTCAAACTCAATGAAGCACAAAGGCTTTTTACATCACTTCCGTGTCTTCCATACATACACGCGAAAACGATCTCATTGTTTACGCTAAAACAGTTCTTGGCCAGTAGACTCGTAATTTTCGTGAAAAAAGCTTTTTTTTGCCTTACAAATGACCATTTGTGCCATGAAAATGGACATTTGTCTCATATAAATGGTCATTTGTGCCATAAAAATGGTCATTTATGCCATGGAAATGGTCATTGGTACCATAAAAATGGTCATTTGTGCCACGGGAATGGTCATATGTGCCATAAAAATGATCATTTGTGCCACGGAAATGGTCGTTTGTGCCACGAAAATGCTCATTTGTGCCATGGAAATGGTCATTTGTGCCATGGAAATGGTCATTTGTGCCATAGAAATGGTCATTTATGCCACGGAAATGGTCGTTTGTGCCATAGAAATGGTCGTTTGTGCCATGGAAATGGTCATTTGTATCATGGAAATGGTCATTTGTACCAAGCGCTTGTTACAGACAGACAGACAGACAGACAGACGGACAAACAGACAGACAGACGGACAAACAGACACAGGTGAATTACCGTTTCTAGACCCTATCCTTTCAGTCTAGGGAACATCCTCACACCCACACTTACATCCATATTCCACAGCCGCGCCCACCCTCAAGTTATACATTGTTCTTGTAACTGATAAAAAAATTACTTGATATTGTCGTTGGGTGGTAAATGTTCGGGACGCAAATATGCTGGTAGCAGTTGTCATAGGAGAGCAAGTGTTCGGGGAGCAGTTGTCCTTGGGAAGCAAATGTGATGAGAGCGAATGTCAAGAGAGCAACTGTCATTGGAGAGCAATTGTCCGGGGAGCAATTATCGCGGGAGCAACTGTCCGGGATCATCATTCATGGATTTGTGGGTGTGGGGTGTGACTGTGGCATGTGGGTGTGAGTATCATCATTCAGTATAATCACACCCACACCCTTTAAGACAGCAACACTAGAGGGTGTGGGTGTGGGTGTTCTCTTCAATTTGATGGACATCTACCTACACCCACACACCCACGCGCACATCCCCCCCCCCCCCCCCCCCCCCCCCCCCGCCCCCCCCCCCCCCCCCCCCCCCCCCCCCCCCCCCCCCCCCCC